TTCCTGCGGCGCACGGGTTGAAAATCGCCCGTCTAGGCTAACATTTATTAAGGGCTTCCCATATGGTATGCACTATTCTGAACACCATTTGTCTTCTAATTTAATTATCAAAATAGCTAAACTATCATTGCTCCCATTTTAAAGGCGAGGAATATGTAACTCAGCAAAGTAAAATAACTTGCCTAAAGCCACAGGTCCAGGCAGCACGACCCCAAGGCCCAGTCACCCAACCACGGCACTGCCCTGTGCGCTGCACTGCCCTCTCATTCTAGTATTTCAATATTTAAACAAGTATTGTCGTTCTTTGGAAGGATCACTAATGACAACCCTTCATCTTGAGTTAGCTGCATTCCATCAGAATCATCAGAAATATACTTTTAGGGGGAAATTAAAGACGGCGGGGGACTGAGTGGAAGCTGCACTAACACTGCTGAGACAAAACTGAAATTACAACTGAAATACAGAAAAAACATCCTGAAAACCAATTGAAGACGAGCTGGAGAGCACTCTCATGACCAAGGAGGAAAAGTGGAGACTGCAGAGGGACTGGTAGGAAGTGCGGAGGCGAGAGGGCCGGCTGGGCCCCCACAGGCAGCAGCTGAAGGTCCCGAGGACGATCTCAGCTGTGCGGGGTCCCACTGAGGACTCTGGGGCCTAAACCCCAGGCTGGGCTCCCCAGCCCAGAGCACCAGAACTGAGAAAGGTGCCCACATGACATCTGGCTGTGAAAGCAGCCGGGTTTCTGTCTGCCAGGGAGAGACAGCTGGAAATGCAGGCACCCTCTCAAAGAGCCAACACACAAAGTTTCCTGGGCAGCCACTCACCTTGGGCTCCGAAGGAGGGAGGGCAGAGTGGACTGGAGCTGTGTGAGGAGAGTCTGGGGCTGTGGGATCTGGAGAGTGAGATCAGAAGGCACCCATCTGGATTCCTATGCCAAGTCAGTCCACTATACTGCAGAGAACATCTTTCTCAGGCAGACATTTTGCTGCTTTTGCCTGGGGGGGAAGCAATTGCCTCCACCTGCTGCAAAACCGCTCCCCCCTACTCTGTGGAGTTTCTACAGCCTGAGGCTCATTAAGAGAATCAGATTAATCAGCCTGCAGGCAGAGGCAGACCCCTGGGTGCTTTGAGTCTTTGCCTGATCTGCTTCTGGACTAGGGCCTTGGAAAAGCAGACTTTGGTGTGCATCTTGGTCCTGTTCAACCACACCCAGCCCCAGCAGAGGAGACCTCAAGCCAAGGGTTGTTGATAGCTCCAAACGGGGTACTCAGGGCCAGTCACAAACTGCGTCTGACATTGACCTTTACCAGAGACCCTCCAAAAAGGCTGAGAGTCCTAGCAGATCTACCTAATACATAGAAACAAATCCAAACAGGCAGCCAAAATGGGGAGACAAGAAAACAAGCCCCAAATGAAAGAACAAGAGAAGTCTCTAGAAAAAGAGCTAAATGAAATGGAGATAAGCAATTTCTCAGGTATAGAATTCAGAATACTGATTGTAAGGCCGCTCAACAGCATGAAAAAAGATATGGAAACTATGAAGGAAATGAAGAATGACATAGCAGGAATAAAGAATACACTGGAAGGAATACACAGCAGATTAGAGGAAGCTGAGGATTGGTTCAGTGAATTAGAAGATAAGGTAGAAAAAAAATCACTCAATCAGAGATCCAAAAAGAAAAAAACAATTAAAAAACAGGAGGACAGTTTAAGGGAGCTGTGGGACAGCATGAAATGTAACAATATTTGCATTATAGGAGTGCCAGAAGAGGTCTGTTTGAAGAAATAATGGCAGGAAACTTCCCTAACCTGGTCAAGGAAAAAGTCACACAAGTTCAGGGGTAACAGAGAGTCCCAAGCAAGAAGAATCCAAAGAGGCCCACACCCAGACACATCATAATTAAAATGCCAAGGATTCAAGGCAAAGAGAGAATCTTAAAGGCAGCAAGAGAAAAGCAAGCTGTTACCTGCAAAGGAGCCCCCATAAGGCTGTCAGCTGACTTTTCATCATAAACTCTACAGGCCGGTAGGGAATGGCACGAAATATTCAAGGTAATGCAAAACAAGGATCTGAAACCAAGACTATTCTATCCAGCAAGATTATCATTCAAGATAGATGGTGAAATAAAGAACTTTCTAGACATAAAAAGGTTAAAGGAGTTTATCACCACCAAACAGCATTGCAGGAAATGTTAAAGGAACTGCTGTAATTAGAAATAGAAATAGAGAGAACAGAAACATAGGCATAAAGAATTAAAATGGCAATAGATAAGTATCAATAATAACCTTAAATGTAAATTGATTAAATGCTCCAATAAAAATATATATGGTGGCTGAATGGATAAGAAAACATGACCCAAATATATGCTGTCTACAAGAGACCCACCTCAAAACAAAAGACTCACACAGAATGAGAGTGAAGGGATGGAAAAAAGTTTTCCATGCAAATGGAAATGAAAAAAATAGCCGGGTTAGCAATACTCATATCAGACAAAATCGACTTCAAAATGAAGACCATAATGAGAGACAAGAAAGGTCACTACATAATACTAAAGGGATCAATCCAACAAGAGAATGTAACCCTGATAAACATATAAGCACCCAATATAGAAGCACTTAAATTTATAAAAAAGCTTCTGGAGGACTTTAAGGGAGAAATCAACAGCAAGACAGTCATACTAGGGGACTTTAACAGCCCACTGACTTCACTGGATAGGTCTTCCAGACAAAAAAATCAACAGGGAAAGAGTGACTCTAAATGACACACTAGACCAGATGGATTTCATTGACATTTACAGAACATTCCACCCCAAAGCTGCAGAATATACATTCTTCTCAAGTGCACAACAGTAGATGAGTGGAAAAAAGAGCTATGGTACATTTATACCACAGAATACTATGCAGCTGTAAAAAAGAAGGATCTCTTACCCTTTGGGACAGCATGGAGGGAACTGGAGAGTATTATGCTAAGCAAAATAAGCCAGTCAGAGAAAGACAAGTCTCACATGATCTCACTCATATGTGGAC